ACAGGAGATTGGTATCATGGATGTGCAGCTAACAAATCGGCAGCAACTGCGTGATGCTATCATGACAATATGGACCAATATCTCAGAGAAATATTTCCAGTACTTGTTGAATCCATGCCACGAAGGATTAAGGCAGTTATGAAAGCAAAAGAAGGTCCAAGTAAGGTATTAGTGAGGTGTACCTAAAATATATATATATATATATATATATATATATATATATATATATATATATATATATATATATATATATATATATATATATATATATATATATATATATATATATATATATGTATATATTTGAGTCACACACTCTCAGAGATAAAGGTACAGGAGCTGTCGCTGGCGCAGTACATTTTTAAAAGGTACATGTACCTGAAGGGTCCACAACGGTACCTCGAAGGTACTTTTTAGGTACATTTGGGCACTAATATGCACCTTTGAGGTACTGCTGTTGGCTCTTTGGGTACAAATATGTATCTTTTGAAAAGGTATCCCAGTGACAGCTCCTGTACCTCTATTTCTGAGAGTGCACACACACACACACACACACATACACACACACACACACACACACACACACACACACACACACACACACACACACACACACACACACACACACACACACACACACACACACACACACACACACACACAAAATAATTTACAGTATATTTTTTTCCAGGTAGTCACTAAAGAAATAGTATGAAATTTGTTAAAAATTAAAACAGAAAATACAACAATAAATCTATTGATAAAACAACATTATTTGCTTAATATAATGATTAAGACTGGTTTGATTTAGCTTTTATTTTGTTGTTTTCAGTATTTCTTTTTATATTTCAATTTCACTATAACTGATATTTAGTCCAGTGTCTATTTATCCTTATCATAAATATATGTTTTAAGTCTTATATGTTTTATATGTCTTTAAATATGTATTAATGTATTTATTTCAGCTTGCATTTCTGCAAATTAGTATACATTTTATTATTGAAATTGCTCTCAAAACTAACCCTAGCTTCATTTTTTACAATAACAGTGCTGAGTGAAGAAAATGACCAGAATCATGGAAGCAAAAAAAAAATCAGGATTTACAGCAGTACTTCTCCTCAAAACAGAACCTCGCCTTATTTAGACTCTTTTCGTTTAGTTGACGATTCAAAACAGCTCAAATGCGTTCACAACCTCTGAACTCTGACCTCGAGAAGCTTCATAGTCCACACTAGCAGTTGACAAACAGAGTAAGAGTGTGGTAAGATGCTCGTCTCTTTGTCTGGTGGAGGCGTGAGTGATTAAGCTTGCGTTAGGAGTCATTATCTGAGTGTTTGCACAGCTCCGTCTGTCCTGAATGGGCCCAGTGGGTAAACACAAACGTAATACAGGATACACTTGCACAAGAGACTCAAGGCCTTTTCACAGTCAAACACACACACACACAAACACACACACACACACACATAGGCTTCACTGCCATTCACTTCCCTCCAAACCTCCAAAGATTAATTTAAACATCCTAATTACGCTTTGAGGAGTAATGTGCGTCGCCTCCCCACAGTTTTTTGACTAACATAAATTATCATTGTGTTGATCCTTTAAGCCATTGTTCTAGCATGTCTAACCTGTTTAACTATCACATTTTCTGTTCAATTTAGGGTGGAAACCATAGCATTGTTCCAAACTCATTAAGTGATTAAAAGCTCAGTTTCACACAATGATATGAAAGACAGCCACTGTAAAAAACAAACAAACATAAATTAACATTTTCTTTGTGTTTTGTGATGTTTTTAATGTATTTAAATGACATTGTGGGATCTTGAGCTTTCCCCCAACAACTTTTGTTGCTGAAATGTTTGAAAAAGTGGCTTTTATTGACATTTTTAATCGTTTAAGGTGATATATTGTGTGTGTTGGTATGTTGGTATTATAAATTATTATACAAAAATCTGGTAATAAACTGCCAGTGTTTTCTGTTATTTTACAGACTTAATCCTCTGTATATTGTTTCCTATACAATATGTTGTTTAACAGTTTTTCTCAGTGGCTTTGGTGCATCTTTCACAAGACTACATTTGCACAACAGTTAATCAGTTCTCAAAACAATTAGTCATTTGTGCACATCATAGTAGCAGTTTTTCATTCTTTCCAACAAATTGCAAATGCTTTTGGACATGCATCAATTGCTTTCATATAACTCTCTGCTGTTTTACAACATTATAATTTGCTTAAGTCATGTCAGCCAAAATTAACTAAACTCATGAATGCTGAATAGTCATTCCATATAAAACTCAAAATCTTCATTTCATTACTTGATACATTACTTACAAAAATGTTGAACTAGTTGTCAAAATCTGTCAAGAAAATGTTGTAAACATTTTAAAATCTTTTTTTCTTATAAATGTCTTCTAAATTGAACAATTTCATGAATGATTTACAGACCTATGTGTGTTGTAGGTTCAATTCCAATGTGTACAACAATAGTTTACCGTTGTGCACAGCTCTACCCAAAGGGAGTTTATGTTTGTTGTAAATGAGGGTGTATTTATTCATTTGCACAATGCTGTGAATATATTAGAAATGCAAAGAACAAATGCAGCAAAAATGTGAAACATACATATTCAGTGTCTTGTACTCAGATACCTCACTATATGCAGTGATGTCTAACTGTACTGTAGTTGTCAAATGGTTGTGCAAATAGTATATAGTGCTGTCTTGAACATTTTCAGGAAGTGTCACCAACATCTGACTTTTTTTTGCATCGAAAAAAATGTCCAGTTATCTGTCATAATGAAAACATGACAAAGCTATTTGACTATCTTGTTCATAAACAATGGTTTCAGGACTTTTCATCTTGATGACACGGACACTTTCATTGACATCAATACTTGCTTTTGAGGAATGAGCTATCCACTTTGAACAAGTGACATGCTTTTGCAGGTTATCAACTAGATTTTGCAGTTTGTACTAATTGTTTTGAGAAATGCATTAACTGTTGAACAAATGTAAATAGTGTTGTGAGAAATGCACCAAAGTGACTGAGAAAAACTGTAATGTTACTCAATGTGTGGGGGAAATGAGGTCAGTAAATACAACATAAATTTGAAATGAATTTAATTAGGAGTTGAATACAGTACACTTTTACAAAATATTTAAAACTAATAATGAATAATTTGTGTGTTTTTGTTACATTGTGTGTATTAAAGAATCTTGGAAAAATAAATAGTCCTTGTAGTTATCTTGCAATATTCATGCTTTTGTTTATTTGCTTGTTTGTTTGTTTGATAGCTTATTTACCCCTCAACATTCATAATAAAAAGAAAAATATATATATTTTATATAAATCATCTTCTTAGAACTAATTTAACAGTGTATATAAATAAAAGATAGATAGATAGATAGATAGATAGATAGATAGATAGATAGATAGATAGATAGATAGATAGATAGATAGATAGATAGATAGATAGATAGATAGATAGATAGATAGATAGATAGATAGATAGATAGATAGATCCTACAAAATTTCAACTATTTAATTTTTTTTTTTTTGCTTCTCTTGATTTTTCCTTTTTTTTAAATTTGTATTTAATATTTTTCTAGAACTTTCCCAGTGTTTTGTTGCAGCTAGATATGCATCTGCTGCGTAAAACATATGCTGGATAAGTTAATTCCGCTGTGGCGACACCAGATCAATAAAAGGACAAAACTGAAAATGAATGAATAAATTTTTCTATAACATATATATTTGGGTTTACTAGTTTTTGGACCGTTGTTTTAAGTTATTTGGTTGGATAAGCTCCATATTTAGCTTCAGTACTGACTAATCTAATGCATATGCACAAATATAATACTGTATAGCTTCCTGCTGAGCACTGTATATTGATAGAGAGACAGAGAGACATACATACTAGATAGATAGATAGATAGATAGATAGATAGATAGATAGATAGATAGATAGATAGATAGATAGATAGATAGATAGATAGATAGATAGATAGATAGATAGATAGATAGATAGATAGATAGATAGATAGATAGATAGATAGATAGATAGATAGATAGATAGAGCAGTGTTTTCCACACAGTAGCCCCTGGTAAAGGGGTTGGGGCCTGGGGTTGTGGGCGTGTTCTCGCGGGTGGAGTATTTTCACTTCACTGAAGCTCTACGGAGTGAGTAATTACTGGCTCCGCGGCCGCAGAGGGAACACACGCTCTGCCACACTCAAATATACATGCTCACAAATCAGGAAAAGACTTTAGTGTGGAGCTGTGGAGTTTTATACATGTTAAATGCGTGAAGGGACAACAGTGGACTGCTGAGAAACACACTGAAGGAAATGGCTGGAAGCACCTGAAACCTGTTGCACTAATGCGAAAGGTGATATTATTATTTTGTTATACTCCCTTATTGAATTCTTTAAAAAGAGGATTTTAATTTTGGACGTCAGAATTCTTTGCTTTATTTCCTCCTCGCTTTGTCGGCGTTTGTTTTTTGTTGGGAATCCGCCGGATTGCATTCATCGGATGCATCCACCTGCCATGTGGAATTTAAAGCAGTTGAGAAAGGAAACCGACCCATAAAATGTTACTTTGTTACAAAGTATCTGCGGGAAATGAACTTTCGACCTTAACACGGTTTGCTCGGTGAATGATTGACCACTCAGTCCACGGATGCGCGTGCTTTTCCACGGTACGTTCAGCCGCTTAATTTTCAGTTTATGATTTTCTGTGAAATTATTAAGCCGTTGTTTGATTTAACTCTAGTTGTTCTCTTACTTTTCAGCTCGTGTTTAGAATCATGGACTGTATGAATTGCACTCGCGCGCTTGGAAGAAAGTGTGCTCGGGATCTAGAATGAAACTTCACTGTGATTTACAGCCTTGTGGACTGTGGACATGCTGCTGGAGCGAATAAGGTTTCCTTTTGGGATTTTTTCTTTCCGAAACGCAGCGATAAATTAAAAAAAGAAAAGAAAGGAAGGAAGTGAAGAAAAAAAAAACCCTGAGCTGAGTAAGTACTCAAGAATTGAAATTCATAGCTTTCCAGTATGAGGAAACCTGCAGACGAGCATCATTTCACCATGGAGACCTCAGGGATGCACCTGGTCGGATTTTGGCTGCATGTCCTGCTGCTGTTTCAACTTTCTGGGCTCGGAGATTCAGCTTCTAAGGATATAGTGTGTGAGCCCATCACTGTACCCATGTGCAAAGGAATCGGATACAACCACACGTACATGCCCAACCAGTTCAATCACGACAACCAGGATGAAGTCGGCTTAGAAGTGCACCAGTTTTGGCCGCTTGTTCGAATTCACTGCTCCCCAGACTTGCTTTTCTTTCTGTGCAGTATGTACACCCCCATCTGCCTTCAGGACTACAAAAAGCCCCTGCCACCGTGCAGGTCTGTGTGTGAGAGAGCGAAGAGGGGTTGCTCCCCCCTCATGATCCAGTATGGGTTTGAGTGGCCAGAGCGGATGAGTTGTGAGCAGCTGCCTATGCTGGGTGACACCGATCGGCTTTGCATGGACAGAAACAGCAGTGAAACCACAACTCTATCACCTCCATTCCCCAAACCCACTCCCAAGGGAACGCCACGTCACAGAGCCACTGCAAAATCTGCTCCCCCACAAAAATGTGATCGGGAATGTCATTGCCGGGGCCCTCTGGTGCCCATTAAAAAAGAAGCACATCCTCTTCATAACCGTGTGAATACTGGCTCTCTACCTAACTGTGCACTGCCTTGCCACCAACCCTACTTTTCCCAGGATGAGCGCACCTTCACCACCTTCTGGATAGGGCTATGGTCGGTGCTTTGCTTTGTGTCGACGTTCACCACGGTGGCCACTTTCCTCATCGACATGGAGCGCTTCAAATATCCAGAGCGGCCGATTATCTTCCTGGCTGCTTGTTATCTGTTTGTGTCACTGGGGTACATTGTGCGACTGCTTGCAGGCCATGAGCGGGTGGCTTGCGAGGGCACTGGTGACCAGCAGCACATTCTCTACGACACCACAGGTCCTGCCCTGTGCACGCTGGTTTTTCTGCTCATTTACTTCTTCGGAATGGCCAGCTCCATCTGGTGGGTGGTGCTCTCCTTCACCTGGTTTCTTGCGGCGGGGATGAAATGGGGGAATGAAGCCATCGCAGGCTACTCTCAATACTTCCACCTTGCGGCTTGGCTCGTCCCTAGTGTGAAGTCTATCGCAGTCCTGGCCTTGAGCTCAGTTGATGGAGACCCTGTGGCTGGGATCTGTTACGTGGGCAACCAGAGCTTGGAGGGCCTACGAGGCTTTGTGTTGGCACCACTGGTCGTCTACCTCTTCACTGGCTCGCTCTTCCTCCTGGCTGGCTTCGTTTCACTCTTCCGCATACGTAGTGTCATTAAACAGGGTGGCACTAAGACGGACAAGCTAGAGAAGTTAATGATCCGTATTGGGCTCTTCACCGTTCTGTACACTGTACCTGCCACTATTGTGGTGGCGTGCTTGGTGTATGAGCAACATTACAGGCCAAGTTGGGAGCGTGCGCTGGCTTGTTCTTGCCCATCTGAGCGCCAGAGACTAGGCATGGGTCCGGACTACGCCGTCTTCATGCTCAAATACTTCATGTGTCTTGTTGTAGGCATTACCTCAGGTGTTTGGATCTGGTCAGGGAAGACTTTAGAGTCCTGGAGGCGCTTTATTGCACGGTACGTCCCATGTAGGACCCGGAAGCCACCTGTTTCAGCCTCATCCATGTACAGTGAGGCAAGCACAGCTCTCACAGCCCGAGCTGGGACAGCACCCACTGGGACCTATCACAAATCAGCACCCTCATCACATGTCTGAACATAATACACATTGTAAACCTTACAGGTGTGCAGGTCATGACTCTGAACGAGCAGGTGTCTATTCACACCGGATTTGATGGATGGCATGGATATATTATGAAGGATTTTAACAGACTATTCGTTGTTTGGTTTTAGTCAAGCTCTTTTCATTCACTACTAGTCTAAATCGAACTAACATGTTTATACATTGTGAGGATCATTTGTCTTCTTTGCAATTGTCGCAAGAACCTCAGCCAGAGCCTGTGGCTTTAAGATTATGAATGATGGATAAAAAAAAACAATCTGAGAAGATTAATACTTAATATGAGCCGAGACAATTTGAGCAGATCTTTTATTTATTTGTATATTCTTGTAAATACGTTATTCAGAAGCGTTGTGATATCCAAGAGAAGTTGCTCTGTTGTGTTGTTGGTCAGAATTTTCACAAGATGATTCCATCATTTTTTTTTAAAATACCATCTTCAGTTGTCTAATATATAAACACTTTTTAGGAGAAGTAAACAGATGATTTCATGTATTCCTTGTAAACAAGTACACTTACTGGTAACACTGAATTTTGATGGTCCCTATTGCACATTTTGCCAACTAAAAGTTGCCAATTACCTCTCATTTGAGTATTAGTTGGCTGTCTGCAGAATATCTGTTGATACTGCTCCTTCAACAGACTTTTAACTGACTAAAAGAAACTTTCAAAGTACATGTCAACACTAACCCTAACCTTACAGTCTACATATAATCTATTGAGAATTAGTTGGCATGTAGATGTAATGTAAATTAAAAAGGGACCAACCAAATAAAGTGTGACCCACATACTGTGCAAGCGGTGTAATAATGCAAGAGTAGTTTCCACTTTTTGAGTCTCTACAGGCAGTTCTACACAACTTCATGCTTTTTAGAGTCCTTCAGCAGCTTTTTAGCAGGTTGACTGTTTAAGATTATCAAAGCTCTTTCTCATTTGATAATGGATTGTTGATTATTTTCTACTCGGCAGTGTTGAATGAGAGTGCGTTCATCTATAGGGTTGAGTGGAGAGTGTGTAGGTCTATTAAGTGAGCTTGACTTCCCTCTTGTGGTCAATGGTTCAACCTTTTCGAGAGTTCAAGCATTAACCAGCACTGAATAGTCGTTGCTGTCTAAGGTTTCAAAACAACATGGAACGATGTATGTTTAGTTTTCCATGTCAGTCTTTGGTTATACTGTACGTCCTATCACCATATTTGTGTTTTCAGTCAGAAAACCAGTGTTGGGTATGCACTTTGAACAGACAGAATCTGTAAACCCATGTTGGTTTTGTAGATCTGTGTGAAATCTTTTAGTTAAGGTGTAAATGTAAGCATTGTTTGGCTTCTTTTTTATAAACCGTCCAAGCTGTTGTAGAAATCATTTGAATGTTCAGTCTTCAAAGCGTCTCACAATGTTGCTGCACGTCTGGTTGTGTGTACATACTCGTTTGGCTCTACTCATTTGTAAATCTTGTAGAAGACATGTACTTTAAAGAGTTCAGACTGCAACTTTGTACATATGTTTTGTAAAAGATATGAAATCCAGTGCTACAATTTTAAAGAGATTCTTAGATATTTATGAAAAGTGTCTTTTACATGTTTCTCTTACTGGTAGAGAATAAAAGCAAGGAGCAAATTTGTCAACCTTCAAGTCAAACGCTCTGGTGATTCATTTATTTTTACTGCCATTGTAAAAACAGTTTATCTATAACAAATCCTGCCGTGTTTAAGCATTTTTGCAGTTAGTAGAGTTTTACCAATGCAACCCCTTTTCATTACAGGCACTAAAACCTGCACTTTATTCATGTTTGTAACTTGGTTAAAAACAAATACAGTTCCAACATAAAGGTAATTAGCCCTTTTTGCAAAAGAAAGAGCTGTGTGTTAAAAATCAGGGGATCTTCTGTCCATTCCATATCTGTTTTCAAACAAAAAAAAGAACTAAGAATTTTTTTGCTCATAAAAATAAGAAAAAAAAAACTGGCTCGATTTTAATTTTAGGGTAGGAAACAGAGAAATTACTTTAAAATTCATTATATACATGTAGGCAGTGTTGAAACCCAATTTTTCCTCTGACTGGTCAAACAAATCTAAGCTTGTGACGTCGCCCTCAAAATTAAAATAGAAGGAAATAAAATAAAACAAATGTTACCCTTTTTTATAGGCCCAGGGCTCAATGTGTTCTCATTCTGGTCCTGCAAACAACTTAAAAAAAAACTAAACAATAAAAAACACAAAGTAAACAATATAAATTATTATTATTAGCCTATTATTAATATTTAGGTCTACAATACCTCTGAAACATTCATGCAAACCAGGTGCTGCTTGGAAATGCTTGGAATCTTTGCTCAGCATCAGGTGCATAGCACCAAGAAGTATGGCGGCGAATTATAGGCATATATATTTATTATTATATTCAATATATATATATAAGCAATCATGCAAACCAGGTTCTGTTCAGAATGGCACTGGAATCTTTGCTCAGCATCAGGTGCACCGCAGCAAGACGTTTGGCAGCAAACTATGACCTTATTTTTTAATGACAAATGTGTAGTAATACTGATAATTTACATTTTTATTTAATTTATGCAATGTTAACCTGTCAACTGATCAAATGATAGAATATGTAAACTTAAGTTTATATCTATAATGCAATAATAATAATTAAAAGCCTGGGTGGACTATTATTTTCAGGGTGATGTCACAAACTCAGATTTGGTTGACCAAAAAAGGAAATTGCGTTTTAGCATCGGCTACATGTATAAAATGATTTTTAAAGTCGTTTATGTTTCCCTACCCTAAACCAACAAAAGAAAATTGAGACAAAATCTAAATTTTTATTTATTTATTTTTTTTAAACTGTCATTTTAGTTTTCTTTTTTTGTTTGAAAACGGATATGGAATGGACAGAAGATACCTTGATTGTTAAATTCCCTGGATTCATATTTCAGTGTAACACAAAAAAAAACAACTAAAGACAGTTACCTTGTAAAACATTCCTCAAACATAACATCAGACGTGTTACATGATTAGTGTTTATTTAAAATACTCCATCTGCAAATGATTTCAATTAAAAACTGACAGTTCACAGCTATTAGCCTACATAGTAAGCAAAAAACAAACAAAAGTAACCGTTTCAGTTTGTTGTCGTCTCTATGTTGTTCTGCATCGGTTGGGAAAGGTGTGGGATATCTCGACTGGCGTATCGTTGCAGCCAAAGGCAGAGGGGTGGGGAGAGAGAACAAGTTTTGTCCGTTGAGCTCCGTCTTGGGAGTGGCGAATGTTCCGAGAAAAAGCTTTTATGAAAGAACGGCATTGGATCGGCGGATGCCCACTAGGTTGTCTGCGCTGAATGATCTCCTCATGGCCACTCTGCTCAGATCTTTGTACTTATCCTCACACAGTCTCGAGATTGCCTTTGAAATGAAGAACAAGTTGAATGAGAACGCTTGTATTTGAACTAGACCTTTAATAAAAGTGATTAACTCTTTGACTGCCCAATCTACCAAACGGTTGACCATACCAAATATTTGATTTGTCGGTTTATGGTAAAAGTATCAGACTTAGTACATATACTATGAAAACATTTTTGCATACTAAATCACCTTTTTTTTGAAGTATGGGATAAAGTAATTCAGATTTTCATTAAACATGTTTTCTTGGTTTATTTTTTTAAATGAAACCAAATTAAGTGCAGCAGGATTATGTTTGATTTTTTTTTTTTTTTTTTTTTTATAAACCAACAATGCTGTGTGTGTAAACCATTATATAAAACAGTCATTCTTTAATTGACTTCAACAGTCATTACTTAAAACAGGACATCAGGAGTTAAGGAATGCAATCTAAATTTTTTCTCTTGGTGGAGTAGTTAAAGGGTTAAAGTAAACAAAAATTAATAAAAGTTTTAAGTGTTTACCTCTAATTTCTGAGCTCGTTCATTGCTCAACGGCTCCAGAGGAAAGCTCAGGTTGTTGTCGTCTGCTAAAGAGCGCAGGTCAAAGTAATACTTGGCGTAGACGCTGGCCGGTACGTTAATGTTAAACTGCAGCAGCTCTAGAAAATGTCTTTCCATCTCATTCCTGAAAAACAAGATAACAAGTTAGGGAGGAATACGTCCTTTCTGACTTGAAAGTCTAAAGGCAACAGTTTTAGTGTAAATCGAACCTAAACAGATTTAAAAAGTCGACACAACAGCTTTAGAAAGCATTAGCAGACAATTTCAACATTTTAAATTACTATGAAAAGCATTTGAAGTTTTGTTTTTTTACTCTTATGTTCAAAGGTTTGTAGTGAGATTTAAACATATCTGTAAATCTAATACTTAATAATTTAGCTTTTTATAAAAACTGTAATGTTGTAAATTAATAACTGAATTAGTTTCAAACATTTTAATATAACTATTAATGTCTTAAATATCAACAATTATACAAATTATTTTAACTTGCGACAAATTATGTAAAATACACAGAATTTTCACTTAATTTTCCCCCACAAATTTATTCATAACATGGGAAAACTTTTAACCTTAATAACTAAATAATATATATGAATAAATAATTTAAATAATAATTTTTTATTTCTTCAAACACAATCTAATCAAAAAAAGGATGTTCACGCTCGTCAGCTTCAGGCATGAGATGATAACCGTTTTCAAGGTTTACAACGATTCGGAAAAGTCGGTTTTAAAACCACCAAATCATTACATATACCGTAGGGATGGTTTAACTTTTTTTTTTTTTTTAATCTGTGTTTTTTTTTTTTTTTACAACTATTTTATTTATTTTTTAGGACAACAGTATCCTAGCTGAAAAGAACCCTCTACATCAAAAGCTACCATTCCGAAATATTTAAAATGTTTCTTAAAATAAGATCTATTATGTTCAAAGGAGAAAAAAGTAGCTTTTTAACCTGAGCATTTAAAAAGAACATATTCCAGAGCAATAATCACAATACTGTGAAATCGTTATATTTTTAATGCAAAGTTATCATACCGTCAGAATTTTATACCAGCCCATGCCTAGTCAGCTACTGTGTTGTAATATTGTAATAAATAAAGCCGCTTCCCCTATCAGCGAGTGGATCCAGAGACAGTGACCTGACAGTGTTTTGGGAAGAGCAGGCATTAGGTGGAGGTTGGTATAGGTGGTGTTGTGGGGGGAAGGGGAGGGGGAAGTTCGGTCGCTAGGGGCAACAAATGGAGTGGGCGAGAGCCTGGCCCATTGTAGAGAGAGTCTGAGAGCACTTGAAGCCCGCCGGTCCAGAGCTGCACAAAGACTACCTCAATGAAAAAGATGAAAATAGAGCCGAGGGACACGGCCTTTAACATACACGGACACACACAAACCCTGCCTGTGTCATTTATATGGATATTGAGACATGAGAACAAACAAACAAACAAACAAAAACAGGTATTGAAGTGCGTCGCTTCATTTTATTTTGAAAATATTGCTCTAAGGATATGGGATTTTGTAGGGTATGCTGTATTGTCACAATAGTGGAATTTCAAACATTTATATGACACCCTGAAACTATATTATTAATACACCACATCATTTTTAATACTACAGTGAAGTATTGGCGCAGAATTAAAATCGACAATTTCATGCATGTCTTAAAGGGAAAGTTCACCCAAAAATGAAAGTCCTCTCATGTTTTGTTCACACTCTAATTGCTCCAAATCTGTTTACAGTTTCTTTCTTCTGCTGAAGATAAAAGATATTTTGATGAATGTTAGAAAAAGAGCAGCCACTGACTGACTGGCATACTGTTTTTACCCTACTATAGATATCAATGGCTGCTGCTTTCAAAAATGACTTCCAACATCTTGCCTTATATTCAACAGAAGAAAGAAACTCATACAAGCTTTGAACCACTTGAAGGTGAGTAAATGATGAGGAAATATTCATTTTTGGAGGAACTATACCTTTAATTTCTTTATTTGACCGAGTTAAAACTTGTTGAATAGCACATTTTCAGGGATTTTACCACTGCTCCAGTCAGGCCAGTTGTTTGAATTTATACTTTGCCCTGACAAAACTTTCACTGGACTACAAATAAATAAATAAATAAATAAATAAATTTATTGGGCGACGCAGTGGCACAGTAGGTAGTGCTGTCGCCTCACAGCAAGAAGGTCACTGGTTCGAGCCTCAGCTCACGTTCTCTCTGCGTTCGCGTGGGTTTCCTCCGGGTGCTCCAGTTTCCCCCACAGTCCAAAGACATGCGGTACAGGTGAATTGGGTAGGCTAAATTGTTCGTAGTGTATGAGTGTGTGTGTGAGAATGTGTGTGGATGTTTCCCAGAGATGGGTTGCGGCTGGAAAGGCATCCGCTAAGTAAAAACGTGCTGGATAAGTTGGCGGTTCATTCCACCGTGGAGACCCCGGATTTATAAAGGGACTAAGCCAACAAGAAAATGAATGAATGAAATATATTTATTTATTGGTTGTGTTCCACATAACATCTTAACATCTTAGTAATTCCCCAATTTTTTAGAAGAAACTACTAACCCATCAGTGAAAAGCTAGTAGTACATAATCAAGTTGCCACAAATAATACAAATAAATACAAACATGCTGTTAAAAAGCAGGTGGGTCTAATGATGACTTTGTCTTGTGTTGTTTTAGTGATGGGTCATTTTTGAACGATTCGTTCATTTTTGACTAATCTTTTGTATGACTCGAGAATGATGAGTCCACTCAGGGAGGGATTCATTCAGTCAAGTATGCGCACATTTGTGCAGGTGGAGAAAAAGATTAGTTTCTTTTTCGAGCCTTCTATTGGGTTTGAGTCATTCAATCATCATGTAAAACACAGAAGCCAATCATATGCAGCCAGAGCCGAAAAAAGATTTGATCGAAAGGTGAATTAATTTTGGCTCCTTTCAGTTCGGACTGTGTGCTTTGGTTAGGCTTATATGCAATTTTCTGTGTGACGTGAACAAACCACTCAAATGTGAAGACTTGTCAGAAGAAGTGCGCTGACATCATCATAGACGAAAGACCAATTGAACTATAAATAATATTTTTTTTCTTTCTTATAGCATTCTTCATGACTTGTTTGTAGTGTGATCAACATTTGGCGTAGTTGTAGATTATTTTGAAAGCAACTCGTAACATTTTATAAATATTTTGGCAAATTGAACGTAATGAGTCGAAAAGATTCGTTCATCTCACTGAACAAGACTCAAAAGTCTGAGTCAGTAAAACGATCCGAACTTCCCATTGCTATTGTTGATTAATGTTAAAAGACAACTTTATTTATTTAATTAGGCTGCTTAATCAAACGTAAATTACTGAATTTCATTTATTATAGGTTGCTGTCACTTACGAGAGTTTCTTTCTAAGCTGGTTTATTTTGCAATTCTAGGGGTTACCATCTATTTGAAATAGCTTTATTTAAAGACTGCTATTTGTTTTTTTTACATTCTTTGACATATTTAGCCTTTCTAAACTAGTGTTTGTGTACTGAGAAAGAGACCCAAACTGTTCTCAAGTATTAAGTTCTACTGCATTTTGCACTTGATATTGAACTGATAAAACCTGAAACTTGCATAGAGAGCATCAGCATCTTGCTATTTCATTCATTCATTCTCCTTCGGCTTAGTCCCTTTATTCATCAGGGCTCACCACAGTAAAATGAACCGGCAACTTATTCAGCATATGTTTATACACAGCAGATACCCTTACAGCTGCAACCCAGTACTGGGAAAAACTACTTGCCGTTTTCATTTAAGCAGTTTGTTTTATGAGATATTCCAAAATGTGCATACAAATAGTTGGATGGAAACACCGCTATTGACTGACAGCACTAGTCGAGGAGTGCAGAGGATTGGATCTTGGATGGCTGATGTGCTTATCATCAAAACATTTTGTTCCTACAAAATGAGCAGTTTGTTTTTTGAGCAGAACAGACAGTGAAGTCATGATCTCACTCACATGTCCTCCACAGTGATGTCTTTGAGGATCTGACAGTAGTCGACGTTCCACACGGCCTGATCGTCCCAGACTTTAGAGGCCAGCAGGATGGCTCCCAGAACAATCCTCTTCCAGTTAGATGGGCAAATGTCCAGCTCGGCGTACGTCAACAGCCTCTCCAGATATACCTGCAGCAAAGACAGGGACACATGCTGTCAGAAGACCCTTTTTAACAAGGCAAACTATGATAAAGTATACATATTAATGTGTGCTAATTAAAATACTGGTTACCCTTACAACAACATTCAACTCGTTAGCATTAGCTGATTTGCTAATTTATGCTAACATGGCATTTTCTGTGTGCCAAATATTAAGTAAATAAATAAAAAGATAAAAAAACTAAACATCTAGATTTTTACAAATTAGATTTACTTGGTTACAAATAAATATATATATAAAAACAGGGATAGTTATGTTGAAGTGTCAAACATACCTTTTTTATTGTTATAAATGTCTTTATTGTACCTTTTCATCAACTGAATATGTACTTGCTAGGGTTAAGTCCTCATTCCATTCAGCTCTTATGATAGCTATTAACCAAAGACGTCTGCGGTTGGCATTAAAAGCAGTGTGGTGTACGGTAAAATTTTAGTTTTCTATTTTTGGACTTTTGATTTTGGCATCCTATCGCACAACACAACATGTTTGTTATTGCAACCGGTCTTTTTTGCAACCGGTATGCGCGGTTAAACTCGTGTGACGTAGGTTGGTAATTCCCCTATAGTTTAATCATGAACTGTTAGCAAATCATTTTTACAGCATATATTAAACCTTGTTAAACTCAGTCAAAAAAAACACTGGCAGGGTTAGACAATGTTAGCATCAAGGCTAACAAAAACAACTTTTTGATTTTAACAACAGGGTTTCTGCCGGTCTTTCAAGTCAAATTTAAGACTTTTTGAGACCATTATGAATTAAGTTATAGACATACAGGGCTAAACATTAAGGACTTTTTCTAATGGGCCGGTTACTTCTGTAAATAGTTTTTGTATAATTGGAAGATGTGTTGCTTTAGTTTTCTTTCCCTGATTAGGGGATTTAAATTGGAGAATTTGCTGTAAAAATGTCTAACAGCTGTTGTGAATTGTCTCTCTTTGCAATAGAGACACTTAGATATATAAAAAAGTTTTAAGATGGATTATTGGTGATTGGATGTCAGCCTGATAGGGTAGCTTTACCTGGATATAAAAATATTAAGACCTGTTTAAAACTATTCAAGACACAACCCAATATGTCAGTGAATTTAAGACTTTTTAAGTTCTAAAATTTAGTTTTTTTAAATTTAAGACGTTTTAAAATTTGAAGACCTCGTGGACACCCTGTAACAAGGAATTATTAAACACAAATATAGAAATTAACATTTAGATTAGTGAGTGTGGTACAAGTGATCAATGTTAGTGCAAGTTAACAATGTTTAATTATGCTTATTATTAAAAAGTATATTAACAGCTGAAGCCCTATAGTAGCATAACCACAATAAGCCAGTGTAGTGTACTGCTTTTCACTGAATAAAAAAACATTTGTTTTCATATTATAAAGGTATAACAATGAACAGTAGCAAATGTAAACAATAAAAATTAATTAAACATTGCTCAGATTAACAAATGATCTTGTTTTTTGTTCATGACACCTAATACATTATCTAATGAAAACAACCGAACCTTATCATAAAATGTTCAATTACATTACATAATTGTAATTAAGCAGAAGAGATTAACTTTAACATGATTTTAACATGAATGAAAGAAGTTAAAATTGACTTTGTACCAATACATCCTAACACATTCACCCATGCTGATTTAGTTTATGGTGCTCTACTGCCCTCTAGTGGACATCAGGAAAATGTGCCTCCTTTTAAACAAAACAAAAAACAATCCAACTGGATGTTAAACTATAAAGTTGTATTTATTCCAGAGTAAGCTGAGAGTGGAGCAGAGCTGTTGTCTTACCAGTGTAACGATTGCACACTCCGCCGTGAGCTGCGCTGCACTAAACAGAGTCCGGACGAATCGATAGATGAGTTTGTGTTCAGGGTCTGTGCGGGAGTAATCGTCAGGAACCTGCTCCCTCTGCCAAAGGTAACATTATATACATGTTCACAATTTCCAAATGCATTTTACAGCTCATTTACTTCTACTCATTTACTTCATTTAATTACAAGTGCTATATTCAATTCAATCTCAGTTTATTTCTATAGCGCTTTTCACAATAATTATTGTTTCAAGGCAGCTTAGCAAAAAGTGCACACTATATTCATTAGTTACTTTAGACTAAAGCATCGGTGAAAACATAAACATTACATCTACATTTAGTAGTCAGTTTGCCGCTTTATTGCTTAATCCAGTAATGTACACAAGGTAATCAATGGGAATTACAAGCACGATAAACAGAGGAATTTAAATATTTAGGTAGTGAAAACATGATTTACAAAATCAAACTAACTAACTAGTTGCCAATTTTAAAAGGAAGGTATAGTTCAGCCAAAAACAAAAATGTTTTCATCATTTATCCACCCTGAAAACGATTCCAAGCCTTTATAAGTTCATTCTTCTGAATCCAATATTTTTATAAAGATATTTTGTTTGAAGTTGGTAAGTGCTAGCCAATGTCTTCCATTGTAGAAAAATATGAAGATCAGTGGCTACAAGTTTCACACATTCTTCAAAATATCTTCTTTTCAAGTAAACTCAAAAAGCTCAGAGGTTTGGAACAAGTAGAGTGTCAGATATTAGGGGGAAAACAAACAAGAACAAGCCTATATTAAAGTTGAACCCTTAATCTTTGAAATAAGCCAAATACTAATATCACAACTTAATTAAATCATTAATTAGAATTTTTTTAGAGAACAAAACAACTCCTAAATAAATTGTCATAAATGTGTATGCATGATGTTACATCACTTCCCAAACAACTGACTGTTCAGAAATGCATTTACAAAAATCCATTTTAAACCACATATGAATCCGATAAAATGTACAAATTGGATTGCATAACATTTTTGAAGCTCAGACTAAACAGCTAAACGGATTTGATGGCCACAAAAATAGATACTGCAGTCTGCCTGAACAAAACCAAATAAGAGACTATTAAAAAGCTGCTGACATTGCTGAAACAAAACTAATAAACAGTTAACTTACCGATAAGGGGTGCATTTTTTCATCGAAGATGTCTAATGATCTATCAGAGTCCCTGAAATCAATTAACAACATCAATTAACTCACACATGAAAAACCTCATTGAAATGAACTAGTTAGATTATTTGAACATAGGCCAAAGACATCACAAAACATACCTGTTTTTAATGTGATAATATATTGCTAATGTGACACTGGAAACAGAAACAGAAAGGTGGTCAGCATGCAAAACAATACAAAATTAAACGCACTACCGAAAGACTTGCTTGCTCATTATTTTGACTCATTAAATTGTGTAACTCATTAATGTGTATATATTACTATAGTATAGCACAGTAAAAGAGTGACCCATCACTGACCATTTGATTGTGCTTTTCAGGTTGGGTTGGCTAACAGTACTGTCATCGATGAATATCGTAGAACAGGAGCTATACTTCTTTGAAAGCAGACCAGGTGAGACCTATTAAAAGAAAAGAAAAGCATTTAATATGTAGTCCTGAAATGATAAATCATTATTGTTTTGTGACATATTGTCAAAGAAAATACCACAAAAGTGATATTATTGTCATTTTAAGAAAATGTTATGCCACTGATTGTATAATGATTAAGAGCATAATGATACAGATAGTCCTACACACATTCAAGGGACAAAAACTTTACATTTTTGAAGGTCTCATAATGATTTTTTTAAGATGTCAGTATCCATATGCAACCTTTAAGAATATATATAAGCTAGTGTGCTCCAAAACAGTGACGAAATTAGCATTTAGAAGATATAAACCTGATATAAACATCCAAAGCTTGCAGTCTGTCACTTCCACCTAAATGGATAATTGATTGTTTTGACATCACCTCATATTTCAGATCCTAATCAAATTTCGGACCAATCAAATGCTCTCTAGAATCTGAGCTGGAATAAAACGAAATGCTATTTTATTATTGTTTTTTTAATAAAGAGGAGCGGCTACTATATATCTCTATCTTTATGTTTCAGTTGAGATCTTGTCAAGTTTTGAATAAAAAAATGCACATTTCAAAGCACTTCATGGGACATTAAGGTTATCTAGATTTCAAGATGTTAAAAAAATAAATGTCCAAATATAAGCTTTGATGCCAGTGAAATAGAATGTAAATATCCTTGTAAATTTACCTTAACTTTTTTTAAAAAGTGTCCGGTTTTGCAGCTTTAAAGCAGAGCTCATTTGGAGAACTTCTTTCAAACCATCAGTAGTTTTCAGCAAAATGTGGTCACTAACCTTATTTTGTAAATGAGTTACCTGAGCTCACTAACAGCCCCAATAAAAAGTAGATGAGAATCATGAGGTGAGATGACAGAGGCTGCAAATTCAGCTAAAATCTTGGTATATATATATATTGAGTCACCAAATTCTATTGAAGTCTTGTCTATGTTTTGGACGTCAAGGCGATATATTGATTATTGAGACAGCCCTATTAATACACTGTAAAACCAAAAAAGTTAAGGTAACTCAAACCGTTTAAGTTCAAAAACTAATCCTATTGTGCACAATAAGCGTAATCAAATTGAGTAAACGAAGCAATTTGAGCACAGTAAAACCCAATAAATGAAGAGAACTCAAACCTTTTGAGGAAACCGATTGCTACAAACCATTTAAGTTAAAAAACTAATCTGAGTACTGTGAACTTAATCCATTTAAGTTGAAGTAATGAGGTATTTAATTAACTCATTACCTTCACCACTGAGTTTAAAACTCTTCAAATGAGTAAAATTAACTTTCAGTCAATTTTGAGTTAAATACACTCATTTTATTTGACAAAGTTGACTGTTGGGTTTTACAGTGTATGTTTAAGAATTTGAAACCAAGCACATCCACAAAACAAACTCCATAACATGTTCACTTACATGGTTTATGTGATTGCTTTTCCTCCTATCCCGTACTGAAAAAGATAAACGGTATGGTTTTTATTGTTAAACATTTGTTGATCAAATATTGACAAGCTGCACCAATGGCTATTTAAAAAACGTGACTTTCCATCCATTAACAGTATTGGTCAGGACACTAGTTAATATGCAGCTGCAATCTAGGAAGTAAAATGAAATGATTAACTCAATAGACAATCATAGGAAACACTCACCATCTGTCTGTGACTTGCTAAGGAAGATGGTGCTGGCGCGGGCATGATCTGAGGGGTTGGATTCTAAAGCCAAATCTAGAAGACAGATAATCAAGCAATCAACTAACAACATATAAACACAATAAAATATTAGAGAAATATATGCATCCAAAATACTAACAATACAACAATATATTGTTGGAATCACTTTTAGATAAAACAATTTGAAACTGATGAAGCATAAAAACATTCAAGGCCAATCAGAATCCATCCCGTTTAAAAGAGATTGAGCGTTAGTAGCAGCAGACGACAAAACTATTGCATGCACTGTAATTAAACAGGACAACATCATTATTGTGCAAGTTATCTTAATAGTTGTCATTCTTAGCATTAACAGAGCTTTAATCAAGCAGTTATCTGTCAAATATTATGGAAAGTAGTAAAGTTTAATATAATAATCAGTAATTATTGTTAAGTATCACAATTTGAAAAACTATTATCTGATTAATATATATGAAAATGTATTCTGATGGGGATTTAAATGTCCTTTATCATTATTGCAGTCTTCATTGTGACCCTTCAAAATTTTGATTGTACTGATTTGTTGATAAAATCATTCCAACTTTATTAACATCTTCATTTTAAGTTTATTGCATAACTGCGATATTAATTTCTTTCAACAACAAAATGTTCATAACAGGCAAATCTAAGAACAAAACTTTGATCAATCAAAAAAAAGCAAAAAAATAAAAATAAAAATAAAATAATCAAGCTGAAACAACCCCTTAAATGGTAAGAAAGTGGGTTGTCTTCATACTCAAGCTGCTTGTGCTGATTGGCAGGGGGCTGCTGCTACCCGCTCTGGCCACGAGAGCAAGAGGATTGGTGGGCACAATGAGCCTTTTGTACAGGCACTGCAACAGAACAACGCAAGCTCACACCCCGAGCTCTGCCCACATTACTATGTGCCACAGGAACTGTGCCAATGGATTAAAACCGACCTCTCTACAGCCAGACATATAACAGGATGAGCACACATAATACATCATAATAAAGATCGTTTTTATGTTTGGTTTTGAAAAATGTGAAAGTCATTGACTTGAAAATACATTCAAGCCAGAGTGCAGTTCAGAACATTAGAATTGAGGATTCTGCCCTGGCCACTTTATGAAAAGGTGTCTTCAGCAGCCAATGAAGATGCATTCTTATGGAACTCAATGGAGACGGGTCAACAGACTTGTGCCAATGCTGCTAAGTTGTACAGTAAACACAATCCAAGGAGACGTTTGGACAGCTGCAACTATGTGATGAGAGCCACAGAACTGACAGGAAGTGGAGCATAGGTGCAGGACAGAAGGGACTTCTGAGTACTTGACTTTTAGTCCACAACCCAAAACATATTACTTGGGGTCACTAACTCCCCATTTATGTGGGGCGTCAGCATCAACACTTTCCATACACTTTGAATGGGTGACTTCAAGTGTTGCCGAACTGAACTGTGGGTCCATCAGTGCTACTTCAGTGACATTGCTCACTACAGAAGTTGGGAATTTCTGATTTTTTAAGCGCCAAGAAAGCGTCAGCCAATCAGATCGCTTTATGCAAATATCCCAGTTTAGACGATTGTGGACTTCATTGGTGTCAGCCTCAACTTCAGACATGCCGTCTATCAAGTGTTGACGCTGAAGTCCCATGTGAATCAGGCACTGGCCTGCCAATGGATATTAGAGTAAACTAAAGTTACTTGTAACTGCTCGTGCAAGTCAGTAACTATAAGGAACAGTTTGAAGAGAATGTTGTCAAGCAAGGTAGATAGTTTAACAAAAAAAAAAAAAAAGATATTTATGAAAGTTTTTAGCAAGTAACTAACATTTTGATTTTAAAATGCTGTTTAAGAGATAGAGGTTTCTCAATCCCAGTTCTCAGGACCCATCACTTAGTGTCTAAGGGTGTTTTCACTTTGAAAATTTAGTTCAAAAGGTCAAAAGGCCAAATTCTGCATGAAAAATATGTCAATTAAAAGCTTAAGGGAGATTACCTGTTGATGCTTAGAAGAACTGGAACTGTGTTTCAAATTGCATGATTGTGAAAGAACCTTGTACTTGGTACACAATTGTTTAGGAAGTAACCTGCCCATGTGTTTTAGCCAAATACAGCATCTCTAGTTCAACAAAACACATGCAGATAATGCCCTGTAAATGAATTACTAAGCCTTCATACAGTAAAGGCAAGTTTGGTTCACTATGCTGTGTATAATATCAACCAAATCATCCAAAAAATTAGTTCAATGAAATCCTTTGAGTGTGAAACCACACCAGAGCTACTAGGGCACAAGGAACTATCACTGCAAACATGCTTGGTGTGAAAGCCATCTTATATGTCTTCCTAATTTAACACAATTTAGAAAGGTGATCAGTTGAATCAAGTAGTGTTTCGATGACTCAATAAGTGAGGTGGATCTACAAGACTGGAGTTGAGAAATAGTAGTGTAGGTAATTTCCAAAAGCTAAATTCAGGATCTACCAAAAACATAGATTTTTTTAATTAAATAAATCCCCAATACCTGGCAGACTATTTTTAAAACAAATAATTGGAGCCTTTTTCCGAACCAAATTGGATGGCAAAGTAAAAATGATAAATAAGGTTAAGTTGGGCTGAGGCACAGAAACCTAGCCCTTGGAGATCGATGGACATGGATGAGAGAGAACGCTGACCAATAAGAAGGTGCAGGAACACCTGGTGACAAGGCAGCTTTAGTCGCCAACTCAGTGGTAAAAGCAAAGCTAACGTCACACTAAAGGCAAACACAAATGCATTCTTTCAAAGTGGCACTTATATAAAGTCTAGACCAAAAGTTGTGTTACTGTGATTTTACTCCGCCTCACGTAGTGCATAAGAACACTCCTTAACTGTGGTCAAAACCATGTACTGACCTCTTATGAATTATTGCTTTAAAAGATCTTTAAAAAAATCATTATTTACTCAGTCTTTTGTTGCTACAAACCTGTGTGACTTCTAAAGAAAAACAAAATGTAGAGACCATTACAATGTCTGGGTAGTTGAGCTTTCAAGCATCACAAAGACATAAAAGAAACAATTTACTGAACAGATGTAGCTCAAAATGATGATTTTAATCAAGCATCATTCTTTTGTGTTGTGGCCTCAAAAATCAAGCCTTTCAGCAATTGCATGGCTTTGAAAGACTTTAAAGAGTCAATAAAGACCACTTTTATGTTGCTTTTTTTGAAATTTTGTAACTTGACAAGTATACATTTAGTGCTCATTTACTCATTACTGGAGTGATAGTCTTCAAAAATTAATTTGTGCTCAGCTAAAATGTCTATTAAAATAGCATGAGGATGAGCACATTATTTTTGGCATTTTTTGGTAAACTATTCTTTCCCATCCCATTACTCTTCAGTTTTTTTAAAAATACTCATCACACCTGCATATATATATATATATATTCATTTTATTTAAAATAATTCAAAATAATTTTTTTTTTTGAAAAATGTAAAAAGAATACTATTATAAAAACATCTTATTAATTTGTATATATGTTAAAATGTAACTTGTCATAATTCATGTCATGCCAAAGCTGAATTATCAGCAGCCATTAGCTTTTAGTGTTATAACATCCTTAAGAAATCATTAGTACAGATTTGGGGCTCAAGAAACATTTCTTATTATTATAATCATATAAAACAGTTGTGCATGTACATGTAATACAGCTGAAGTCAGAATTATTAAACCCCCTTTGAATTTTTTTCTTTTTAAAATATTTCCCAAATGATGTTTTACAGAGCAAGGAATTTTTCAGTTTGTCTGATAATATTTTTTCTTCTGGAGAAAGTCTTTTTTTGTTTGTTTTTAAAAAAAACCCATTTTAGGCTCAATATTATTAGCCCCTTTAAGCTATTTTTTTTCAATAGTCTACACAACAAAACATTATTATACAATAACTTGCCTAATTACACTATCTTGCCTTGTTAACTAAATTAGCCTAGTTAAGCCTTTAAAAGTCACTTTAAGCTGTATAGAATTTTCTTGAAAAAAAATATAGTCAAATATTATTCACTGTCATCATGGCAAAGATAAAATAAATCAGTTATTAGAGATGAGTTATTAAACTATTATGCTAAGAAATATCCTAAAAAATCCTCTCTCCGTTAAACATAAATTGGGGAACAAAAATAAACAGGGGGGCTGATAATTCAGGGGGCTAATAATTCTGACTTCAACTGTATGTAAACTGATTTTTTTTTCAGATATATTTAATGCACATAGATTTTCAGAGAAATTAAGAGAAATTTAGTTATTAATAAATCATTATTAATTATTAAAATAATAATAAAAAGCACACCAAGAATGAAATCTGTATTGAATGATTGCCTACTGTATGTGCTAAACTGAGATTCATTCATTCCACAGGACTCAACAGTTCATGTACTCAACTGACACCATTCCTCCACTACCAAAGTCAAAAATAACCCCTGTGGGAGGGCAGTCATCCTCACTTGAGGGCACAAACACAGCTGTAGTGTAGTGTAATTCCCAATGTGTATGTGTTACCCCACAGGCAGTGACCTCACACACAGTTATTGTGTTAATTATAAGAAGCATACTCACAACTTTAATTTTAGTGCTGTCAGTACACAAAAAACACTGAAATGATGCTTTGTTGATTATTAAGGTGTTTGTAGGACATTCCAGTGGATAAACACTAGCAAGACCAGAGAGAAGGAATTTCATAAGTGAAAATGGAGAAACAGTACAGTACAGGAAAACTAAGTTTATCCAAACTTAACCTCTAAGCCCCAAAGGTTACAAAACGTGCCTCACTGAGATTCCCAAAGGAAGGGAGTGAGATAAGGAGAGAATGCAGCTGTCCCACAGATCTACATCACTGGGATGCCAGGAATACTAAACATTTCTGATTGTCACTGCCAGTTAAACTTAGTATTGCTTTTATTCGCATCTCCTGACCTGGAATGTCCCATGCAATCATAAAGGATTAACTGCAGCCAAAGCAGAAGAGTTTACACTTCTGTCATATGTGCTTTGAACCAAAGATGAAGACATGCTGCTCTAAATACAGCAATGGACATAAAGTTATCTGTGCGTGTGTGTGACTATATACATTTCTGCTGAGTGTAAAATAGCTCAGGCTAAATAAACAGCAGTAAAGACTGCAAACAGCACCAGGAGGCTACACACACACACACACACACACACACACACACACACACACACACACACACACACACACACACACACACACACACACACACACACACACACACACACACACACACACACACACACACACACACACACACACACACGTTTAGCTAAATGTTTCCTTTGGTTTGTAAAAAAAAGAGAACAAAAAAATACAATCCATTGACATTTTCAGCAAACCCAAAGATTATTTGGGCTTAAATTTTAACAAATTTAGCTTTTATGACATAGCTTTTGAGTCAGAACCAACTAAACATCCAAAACAATGATTTGTGCTTGGTTGAAAGCACTAACATTTTGTTTTTTTATCTTGTAAAAATCTAATAAAATATGTAAATGAGTCAAAAGGTACTAGGAATTCCTCAGAAACATAATAAACAACTTTACCAAAAAGATATCTGGAGCCAGTCCTGAGCTGTAATAGGAAAAGCAGCATTTAAAGAAACAGGTTTGCTTAAGATTGAGAGTTCAGTCCTTTTCATATCTGTAGTGGCATTATGTCTATTTTTAGATTAGTTAAACTGTTTTTGCTCATATTTCTTTCAAAATGCACCAGAGCTAGTTTGAAAGCTGTTTGCTTGTCTAGTGTGCATCAAGGTTCAGATCAGAACTTTCACACATACTAAACTGATCCACATCAACAGAGCAATCGCCCCAAAGTTCATTTTATCCAAACCAGTGTGAACACACCCTTAATCTGCAACTGTTCTATGGACTGAAAATGTCTTAGGCTGTCCATTTTCAGAGCAAACCAAAAGCACTTAGTGTTTAGCTCTTAGGAGAAACCTGACCCATGAGACGAGGAGGTCAAGGCATCAGATCACAGCAGCTCAGTTCTTAAAGACACTGTGGCACACAAATATGCAAACAGAATAGAATATAGTGCTTCTGTGATGAGAGCTGGTGAATTCCCACTTAGTTCATGCCTTTAACATTTAGGCCGTGTTTACCAAATCTGCACATTTTGGATGTCATCTTTTTTGGACACATCAAGACCTTGAAATCTCTCCTAAGTAACGAATTATAAAAAAGGGAAGACATTTAAATGTGAAAAACACTAATCTGGATCAAAGGTGTTAAGTTTTGCTGGTGAAGATACACCTAACCTCAAAGTTAAAGGGATAGTTCACCCAAAAATAAACATTTACTCACTCTTGCTCAATTGGTTCCAAACCTTATAGAGGTAAAGTTGGTTTTATATTTGGATATTCAGACATTTTCCTTAATAATTTAATTTCAGAAAGTATTATTTTCAAATTCTAAATAGGGAAATCCTATTAGCAGCCAATGACTATCAAAGTACAGCATTGTTCACAGTGAATTATATAGTGTTAAAGTTGCTTAGAAGTGATACTTGCATGCTAATTCCGATTTAATATTCAACATGTTAAACAATAGAGACTGCTAAATGGATGAATGTGCGAATATAAAACCAACTTTACCTCTATCCACACCTTTGTGAGTTTAATTATTCTGTCAAACACAAAAGATGACACTTTGAAGCTGAAAACCTGTGACTAAACAAGTATTATAAAAGTTAATGGTTAAAAGATTCCAGCTTTCTTCAAAATTTAATCTTTAGTGTTTAACAGATTTAAAAACTCAACCAGGTTTGGAAGAAGGGGAGAATGAGTAAACGATGACAACATTTTCATTTGTGGGTGAACTACCCCTTTAATTTCCAACACCTGTTGGTAACAACCAATCAAATATGCAGACCTCGATGAGTTGGTCCAGTTGTGCTTGGTCAAAAGTTTGATCCTCTGGCAGTTCAACCATGTTTAGAGCACAGAACTCACCATCCGGCACCTCCCGGTCACTGATGTGCTGCAGGTATGGACCAGTGTCATCGCTGATGTCTGTGTTGTTCTGGTAGTCCTCCAGACGCTCCACCTGCCGGGGTAGTTTGGGGCTCCCACTGGGGGACACGCAGCAGGACACTGTATTGCCCATGATGACTCACACCTACAATCACAAGCTCGACCTGCTCAGGTGTGTTAGTCTATGGCAAACACCTTTTGAAGCTCACACCTGGGCTGCTTCTGTCATCAGAAGTCACCCAATGGATCCAATGAATGAATGAATGAACTCAAGCTAAAAGTGGGTGCATGAAGAGCTGAAATAGACACACACAGTCAGCATCTACTGCTGTACTGTCTCACTGCTCCAAACTCAAGAGGTATGTAGCTCTGTGCCAGTCATATAACGGGACTCCATGCATTTACACGCAGTGCCTCAGAGGACTTAAAGCTTTAGCACTCAAGTAATCAATAAAGCCGGATCTATGACACGTGACTGACAGCATATCACTAGAAAGTATCAGTCGAAAATCTCCGAATACGGATTTATTCCTTTTGAATTAGCCGTACATGCTAACTGCTAACGGCTAATATTGATTCATTGTGAATAAGCGAGTTATTAGCCGCCGAGCTAACTGAGATAAACCATCCTTTTAACTGGTTTAAATGTCCGAATATGTCTTGAATTAAGCCAGTTTGGCGGTTCAAACCGGGAACAGATGAAATGGCCCCTAAAGAGCAGACTTCCGAGCATTTATCCTTCTGTATAGGGTAGATCTGTGTGTTGGCTGAAACTCTGGATCCAATAATCACTCAAATCCTCAGGCCGTCGAGCTGGTAGCAAAATAAAATAAGTCTTTTATCGCGGCATATGAGGAAAGTCTGGTCCATTTAAATCGGCTAATTTAAGCTACGGATTTGTATGTCGTTATTGGATTCTGTTCACCGAGTCTCGTCGAAGAGTCCCCCGCTATCCCCTCCTCCTCGCCGGCCAGTGCAGCAGCGATCCTCTCCCCGCCACCACCGCCATCTGCTCAGAATGACGCAGGTGATGACCCGCCCCTTTTTGACATTCCATCATTTGCGATTGGACGAGTTGCCAAAACAAAATAAATGTTTGTTCAGGGACTGGTAATTAGAACTGTCAATCACGCCGTCATGCTAGAGATTTAAACCCCGCCCGTTTACACACCTCTTTGTGAACGGAATGAAATGGACTACTAGCGTACTGCATAGTGTATACTGTATGCGTACTATTTTTTTTGGATTGTGAAATATTAACTGTGTAGTTGCAACAATATTACCCATAAGTTTAGCATTCATTCAGCGAGTGGTTTAAGTGTTAAAAACTTATCATTTGCAGGGACAAAAATCTAACTACTTTGAAATAAACTCTTAATAACAGATAGCTTATGTGCAGTGTTAGGGCAACGCATTACAAGTAACGTGAGTTGTGTAATAATTTTACTTTCCTTTCTAAGTAACGAGTAACGTACTTTAAAAGTAAAGTAATATTATTTTAGTTATTTTTTTAAATGTAATGTGGGACTACACTGTTACATATGTCCCAACTTTGTTTATTCGTCTGTGTAAACTTGAGGTGCATTGTGAGTTCATTCTTTAATTGTCACTAATCCAGCTTAATTAACTGCAGATTTCAATGTCGATTTTGATAGTCGTATTAATATTTGATTATATTAAATGATCAAATATTTGATATTAAAATTGACAAAATATTCTAATTTTACTAATTTGGCTGTTGTTAAATTGTTTCCTAGCTGCATGTAAACAATGTCCATCACCAGTAACTGACAGCAATTTAAGATCCAAGCAGGGGTTCCCAAAATGTTCAGCCCGCGGCCCCTAAAATAACAATGCCAGTGATTTGTGACCCCTAAATTCCACAGAGGTTGTTATAAATATACAAACACTGCTAACACAACAATAGGCCGGTATAAACATTAGCATATTTACAACACAAAGTGCAACAGTCTAACAAACATGATTTTTTATATTAATTTATTAATTTGTTTAATATTAACCTCAACTAAAGAGACTGGTGTGCATAATGTTGTCAACACAAGTCTTTTCTTGGCAGGGGCGGATTTAGTGATTTGGGGGCCCTAACCAATTTCAGACCGTGGGGCCCAAAAGATTTAAAATGCACCTTTTGTGATTTTTTTTATTTATTTTTAAATGATTTATTTAACTGTTTTTTCACTCTATTACTCAATCCCTAATTTTCTACATTTTGTCTTAATGCAAAATAATAATAGCAACAATAATAAAGTAAAGCATCTTGTAAAACTTTTAAAGGATTTGTTTTCTTAAAATGAATTCATGACTACAAATTATATATTTAAACCTAAATCTTTACCTAATTTATTTGCCGGACTGCTCCATAATTGAGGGTGGGGGACACATTTGCACAAATGTAATAAACATTAAACTTTTATTTTTTTTTAAATCTCATCATACAAAATGTGATTCGAAAATTGTTATATATAGATAATTTATGAGTATAATTTATAAGTATTTATTCGGGGGCACTCAGATTTCATGGGGCCTTAAGCAGCCGCTTGACTTGCTTATTGGTTAACTCTGCCCCTGATTCTTGGTTTAATTTTGGAGACCACCAATCAGAGATCATTCTCAATGTTCAGTTGTGACCTGTATTCATTGTTAATGTATTTAATTAAAATAAAGATGTCAAAGTTTAACCTGGTGCTAAAATCAATCTGCTGCAGCTGATGCTGTTGCTGTGTTAATCTAACCTAAACACGAAAAAAAAATTAAAGGCTGATGTCTTTTCATTTGCACGTTGTTGTTTTTTTTAGTATTAAAAACTACATTTTATTTTCTGTGCGTTATGGATAAAAGATGATAATTCTAGACATTCAATAATTTATTTTACTTTTGGAAATCACCAAGGGACTCATGCCATTGTCCTGTGACTCCTGAGGGGGTCCTAACCCCCACTTTGTTAACCACTAATCTAAGCCCTATTTTATTATACTGTAAGAAGCGATTGGTTGCTTTAGATTAAAGACATGAGTAAACCAGTTGCCTTTGAAAGCAGTAAGTTGACTTTTTTTTCAAAATGGGGTGAATTTAATTTGTGCTGTTTAAAATAGAAAGAAATATAACAGTAAAAATGTTTTGGTAGTATTTCATCAATCTAAAAATCAGGGTGTTCTCTAAAGACAGCTTGATTAGACTGTTTTAAACAGTTTATGGCGCGCAAAAGGAGAACAAAAATAAAACTGCCTTGTATTCAATACTTTGTTCAGCTGGAAATGTTTCATAATATAATATATTCTCCAATCAAGTACAAATCATATTTGCGCTGATTTTACTTATGATTGATCTTATAGATGGCAACAGATATTTTGATCTGTTTTTGTCAGATAATGTAACCTTCAGCGTTAGTTTTTGTTTGCTGGAGTTGTTTTCACTGACTGAACATACCGATTCTGCACTTGTCATGATTGTTATGGAATGTCTAAAGCAGGGGTGCCTTCCTTCAGCACACCTGCCTGGAGGTTTCTAGTTTACCTAGTAAGAGCTGGATTAGCTGGTTCAGGTGTGTCTAATTAATGTTGGAACTAAACTCTGTAGGAAACTGGCCCTCCAAGACAGAGTTTGGGCATCCCTGGTCTAAAGTGTGTAATCTGATGGTGGTTTGCATTTTCCAGCTTCTAGTGCGAATTGGCATTTAGTGGCTTTAAACTTTTTAAATGCATTTTAAAGGCCAGGTTACACAACACCAACAGATGCAGACAAAGGTGGAACACATGCAAAGTTGCAATGAATTCTAAAAAAAAATATTTTTTTATACATGTATAGTAGTGCTTGTTAACAATGTATCTGTGCGCTTTATCATTTCTTTATCATTCTACTCATGAAACTACTTTTCTTCACTTCTGGTCACATGGAATGCCTCTTATTTTTGCTCCGCCTTTATCAATTCAACCTTTCTTTGTTTATTTTAGCAACATCTGTCTTCCAACGATCCAAACCGTTTCCAAAGAACAAGATCAGGCACCACCCTACATTTTTAGAACAGTATTAATCTGATGTACATCCTAATATGTGGGGGAAAAGAGGGTAGAACGAGCTCCTTTTCATTTAAAGGCACAGGCACAAAAACTGCTACAATACCCCATCTGACTCAATTTTTAAAATGAGTATAACAGCAAAGTTTGTATGAAAAAAAAATGTGCATGTAATACTGTGCATGAACTTTCACCAATCAGTCAGTCATATTGCATAGTGTTATGCTGTATTCCAACCTACTTGTACCATCTCCTAATGCACTCTTTTTATGAAGAAACATAACATACTGTTTAATGCATGACAGAAGACAAGTTTATGCAAGCTCTGAGACAAACTATCTTCTCATAGATCATTCTGTTGTCTGGTTATGTGCCCATTTTGTCACAATTTCTTTTTTAGTTTAATAATTGAACATCCTACTTTATTGGTGATGCAGAGGCACATTAATCTGCTTTCTACAGGTCTTTCGAAATGGAAGAGTCTAGTGTTTGCATAGATGTGCATTCAGAAGTTGTAATCAATTGCATCTTTTTAATAGTCCATAATATTTTTGCAGATGAAATGTGTATAAAGCATGAAGTAAATGTTCCATCGGGTTAGATTATAATTGACCATTCAAAACTCTTTACCCTTAACCACTTAACCATTGTGCATCCGCCATGTTTGTAGTTTAACACATTTTACCCATGTTTATAGTTTATTCAAATTCCCATCCAGAAACTAGAATAAAAAAAAAAAATGAAATAAACTAAAATGATTAAAAATAAAACCTAATTCATTACTACAGGTATATGATATCCATTACAGCAAGCATGGATCTGCACTTTTGAATCTATATTACACGTGCATGCTATTTACGATGGATAGTATATGAATTGGGACAGTGTCATTCACAATGCATCGTAGTTCTTTCCTTTTTAAATATAGAGCCTTTTTTACTTGTATACTATGCTTCAAGCCCGAATTTATGGAGACTCACTTCATTTCTTGATTGTTTATGGCAGTGGTGGCCAACCCTGTTCCTGGAGAGCCACCTTCCTGCAGATTTCAGTTGCAACCCATATCAAACACACCTGCCTGTAATTATCACGAGGTGCTCAGGTCCTAATTAATTGTTTCAGGTGTGTTTGATATAGGTAGCAACTGAAATCTGCAGGAAGGTGGCTCTCCAGGAACAGGGTTGGCCACCCCTGGTTT